AAAATCCTGCTGATGTTAAAAATGTAATGGCTTTTGCAAAGCACTGCATTCTGCATTTATTTACATTTTACACATGGCCAACTTTGGAAATGAGGTTGCAGATCAGTCCTGGTCATGTGGTTTTAGCACAACTCCGCAAAGTCGTCTGATATATCAGCACTGCGGATATTTTGTTTTGGGATGATGAAGGTATTCAAGTACTAGCTTAATCAGCAGCTATTTCAAGACACACAAGTCATTATTTGAGCTTTGAAGGGTACTACACTTAAAATCAACATCATTGTTTGGCTCTGATTGCAAACTGATTGCAAACCTTCACACCCACTCATTCACCTGCACCCATCATGAGGGACCTCAGCAGTCACCCTGAGCTTGTATGGCATTTCCTGGTCATGTGGTTGACCCCAGTGGAGGGTTTGGGGCTGCAGAGCAACAATCTCTAGTTAAATCCTCCCTCCTGCTGGTGCTTTGTAGAGCCCACTCCATAAAACCATTTAGTCTCACACACATAAGCACAGACTGATACAGGAAAGCACACATATGCTTGCTGGTGTGCATACACAAATAGACACACAAACACAAAGCACCACCGAAAAAAGGTGGTGTGCTGACGACAAAGCATTTCTCTGTTCTGGAATCAAAGCAACTCTTCATTGTTTTTCTTTTTTTTGGTCTGTCTGTTATTTTGGTGGTCCATGTCGATATTGTTCAAATAGTGATGAGCTGTGTCAGTGTGATGTTCCTATTATACCATTTTCATGATGGTATCATCGCCTCATTGCACCACCTCCTCATCTGTCACCTCTACCTGTGTCTCACTCCAGTTCTCTGACAGCAATACAGTGTAGGGAAAGCCTCCAGTTACCTGCACATGCACAGGGCGTTCAGATAGAGAAGGACAGACAACCACTGATGTTATCCAGTAGTTATGAGAGGAGAGAGATTGCGTAAATGAAATAATGTATTCATGGCTGATCTAACACCAGAGTTTCCTTTGTAGTGATTTACTTATACTAGACTGGACTGTCTAGTAGATTGAATTTACTGAGCGCTATTTAGCCACCGTGACTACCCACAGTAGCAGACGATGAAATGCCTTCTCTGGCGTATAAATGAGTTTACCCTACTACAACTGTAGTGTAAATAGAAGGAGCTAAATAGTTCTTGTTTGGTTTTTTGCTTTAGTGCTTAGTTTGTGTGATTTTTTTAAAAAGTTTTGTTTAAGTAAAAACCTCAAAGTTAAAAAAAATGTAAAAATTGAAACTCTTAAAGTAAACTGGACAGCGGGAACTGCCCAGCTCCAACATGCCATGAATGCAGCAGTATTTCAGCCAAGCACATCCGAGAGGAGCCTGCAGATACTATAATGAGGCCCACTGAGTGTAAGCTATAAAAATAATGCGCGGGATCACAGTACACACACAAAAAACCTGAATGGCTTAATGCTTTATAGGAAATAATCAACTGAAAGCCAAGTGTGCTCATTTTGTTTTAATTCCAGATGCTATCTTAAGAAATCAAACATGTTAGTTTTAGGTACAGTTTAGATTCTAATAAGCCAGCACTGTGATGTGACTTTGATTTGCACACTGAAAGCATCGCTCCGTATCAGCCCGGTAATACGGACAGGCCCCGTGTGCTCAGTGTGCATTAAAAGGCTGGGATGGTCTCTGCTGAAAACACTGAGGGATTAGTGACATGTCTGTGGCGTGCTCCCATAGTTGTCAGATGTGTGAAGTGTTACTACTGCATCCATCCTGTAGAGAGCGCTGCTTAGCCTCTGGAACACTGATAGTCTGGCTCTTAACAAAGGCTGAGTGAAAAAGCTTACGTCACTATTAGAGATGCTGCAGAAGGCTTCCATTCTGCCCTCATTCAAGCTATCACTATATTATTGTGTCTGGAACACTAAATATTATCATAATCATACAAATTATGTACAGTTCCCCAGAAAACTCTAAAGTCTCGTGCACTTGAACATAGTCTTGTTCATTTTATTGATGCACTTAAGTGATATTAAAGTTGCTTCACTGTATGTTGGTGAACATTGTCAGCAGTGTACTGTACATGTGTGCTTCTGGGAACAAAACAGTTTTGGTAGCTAGATGACATTATAATATTCAAAGAGCAAGTGATCAAATAGTCAACAATTAAGACAACTAAAAGCACCATTTAAGAATATTCAATATTGTGTTGTTCCCTCCAGATCATTCCCATGCGTTGCCTAAAAGTAACATGTCTTACATGACATATGCGTGGGTCATATGTGAAATTAATGATGTGAACCAACTTTCTTCTGGAGCAGAAGAACAAAAGTATGAAAGCACTTTGGGTTGTGGATCGTGTATATATAAGAAGTAAGGTGTAGCTCCATGCGTGAACATCTGGTGGGATGAGCTGATGTTGTGTGTCTAGATCTGGATTTTTGTGGCATTGTACTGTTGGCTACGATGATTTGACGCTCAGCTCTCCAGTCTGCTCTCATGTTGTTCCTGTTAACATTCCCCGCGTCTTATTTTCTGGCCAAGCTGCAGAGTAACATTCTGTAAGTAGTCCGTTCAAGGTCTTTAATGACCTTTTGGAGGAGCCAGTGGGCCCCTTGTTTGATTTATTCTGAGAGCACTGACTTTAAAACTATCTCTGGTCAAGAACAGGTTTCAGTGTTAGCATACAGTGTGTTAATGTTAGCATACAGTGTGTTAAATAACAAAAGCTGATGTTATGAAATCAAGACTGTTAAAATGGCCCTTTTATAAACATGTTGAGCTCCATATTTATATTCCTGGACTAGAGTAGAGTTCAAAATAATGCTTGCTGGTCTTTTGCTTGTGCAGTCCCTCACTTCATCCTATACCTGAAACAAGCCTTTAAATCAGCTTTGTTCAGATTGACGGATCCCATGATTTGGACAAAGTAATCTCACGATTTTTTTCTATTGTAAGGTAAATATTCTAAAGTAATACAATTATAATGTTATTCAAGTTAAGTTATATACATTGACAGAAAATACAGGAAAGCCCCACAGACCCTCTTTAAAGCTATGAACTTTAAGCCTGTTTCATTTTGCAACACATTAAATCAAAGAAAGAATTCGTTAACAACAGAAAAATTCAAAAATATTTAAGGCTTTCCACCCTGGCAACCAGTATTTGTACACAATTTTATTTGTATTTATGAGTATACACAAACTTTTCAATGTGAAAAAAGACTGTTAATTTACAAAGTTCTTTAGGAGCAGCTTTTTGGGACCATTGATTATGAGCCAGACAGTAGCTTACAACATGCTTGTATCAATGCTCCCAAGTTAGCAGATAAAAAGATTGATGATGGAGCCTACTCAGTAAGTGGGTTATGAAAAATTTAGAGGCAGACATGTTAATTTATATATATAATATGGCCTTATCTTATAAATGAAAAGAATGTGTAGATTTGAAGAGCTCAAATATTCTTATCAGTTTCAAAAATGCAATCTAGTCCAGCTGAGGTTTTTGTGATTTGAGTCTTGTCTTTGGATATTCAGTAAGGAACCCAATGGACCCTTCAGTTAGTAAAGTTTTAATAGAACCATGGGAATGTGCTCAGTGTTTACTACAGTCATCAGGAGTGTGATACAGTTAATGTTACTTTGGAGCTTGGACAGAAAGTAAGAGTCAGATTCACTCTGATGTCCGTTTGAACTCCCAGTTATTGCACTCAAATACCACCCTTCCACTAGTATTTCACACTGTATATAGACACCATCACGTTTTTATCACTCCGCGTGTAACTCAAATTAGTTCAAATGAAATAAAAAGAAGAAAAAAAAAATCTTACTTCTTAACAGGGTGTAGTGGATGTTGATAGACGGGCATTTATGTTCATAAACCTAGTTAGAGTTGAAGTAAGACATTCTGGTAAGACTGAAAGCATAGGGAAGGAAAAGTGTACTTTTTTTTCAGAGTCTGCCTTTTTTCCATCAAGAAAAGGGCTGCTGAAGTTTCAAGAATGTTTTAAAAATGTATTAAAGATGCAAGATTATGAATACATGTATGAGGTTTGTCTCTGTTCTGTTTTGGAAGATAGCTCACATATGGAAAACACTGTTTACCAGATTCAAACTGACAGGCAGGAAGAGAACCAGTGTGTGTCCACTTAGATATGATCTGAAGAAGCTTTGCATAAAGAGAACATGAGGACACTCCTCAGAATTGGCAACATTTGGTGTGAACTGCACTGACACACACTGGTGAGCCCTTTCTTCTGCCTACCACCACCAGAAAGTAATACCCTTTATTAAACAGCTCCTATGTAGACACCTTGACATATCTACCAACACGGGACTGAATTAAGGCAAGTCATGGACCAAATTATCTTCCCACTGTCAATAACAACAATAATAGACCATTCTGAACCTCTTTGTAAAGTAACAGAAAAGTGCTTCAGAAGCAAAGTTTCAAACACTTCAGAAGTAGTGTTGGTAGATATATCTGGAGCCCCTAACCACGTCTCCCACCTGCAGTGGCTCATCAGCACCACAGCACTGAAAAGCAGCTGATTTTACCTCTGTCCTTT